GATGTGGGTGACGGGCAGGACAGCCAGGCCTCCCCTGTGCATGTGCTGAAGATGCCCATTGCATGGGCCTTTCCCTTGACAGCCTGGCAGGGAGCCGGTTGCTCTGTCCCCGGCTGCTGGGAGCAGCCCCGGGCGGGCACATCAGGACGCCGGGCAGCAGCCGGCCTCTTCGTGCCGCGCCAGCAGGGACATGCGGGAGAAGGTCTTGGTGCAGGCCCGGCACTGGTACTTCTTGACGTCCGAGTGGGTCTGGAGGTGGGCGCGCAGATTGGAGCGGTCGGCGAAGGCGCGGCTGCAGTGAGAGCAGCTGTACGGCTTCTCGCCTGCAAGGGGAGAGGCCGTCAGGCCAGCCGCCAGACCCAGCAACCCTCCCGCCCCAGGCAGAGAACAGCAGCTCCTTGCACCCACAGGTCGAACCCCCCAGGCCTCCGCATGGGAGCCTCTGCTCCCAGCCATGCCAGGCCCCAATCTCCAGGCTGGGGACCAGGGAGAGAAAGGAGAAGCCATTGGGGCAGCCAACCAGTCACCCCCCAGGTGCTCCCAGGGGGATGTGGGAGCCCCCAAGCTAGCCGCCGGACCCATACACAGGGTCTGGGGGCAGCCAGGGTGTCCCATTTCCTGCAAGCCAAATGTTTTCCGGCTGCCAGATGCCCCAAGGTCCTACCTGGGCTGCAGCACATGGGCTTGGGGTCCCCCAGGGACACCAGAGATAGCCCTGCGGGCTAGCCCGGGGGATGCCTGCCTTTCCTGGACCCTGCAAGCCACCCCCTCCACCCCTCTGCCACGCACACACCCCCTTCATCCTCTGCCGTGCAGCCGGGCCGGTCGTTTCCCCCCATCCCCTGCCATCCGGCCCCAGCAAAGTCTAAGTAAACTCAGCTTCCCGGGACTGGAAGGCGGGCAAAGCCCCGAGCGGAGCCCAGCGCCTCCAGCCAGGAGTCTCGCAGCGGTGGGGGACGGGGGTCTGCTCCCAGCGTCCGAGCGGAGCACGCTGCCCCCGCCCAGCCCTGCCAGG